AGCATGTCGGGGACGCGAACCTCCAACGACCGGCCCCCCGGCGCGGGCGGCGTCAAGCGGGGGCGGCTGCAGCAGGAGGCGGCGGCGACAGGCTCCCGCGTGACCGTGGTGCTGGGCGCGCAGTGGGGGGACGAGGGCAAAGGCAAGGTGGTGGACCTGCTGGCCACGGACGCCGACATCATCAGCCGCTGTCAGGTGCGGGCCGAGGCGTCGCGTCCCTCCCCCACCCGCCCAGCGAGCCCCCTCCCCCACCCAGGCGGCTCCTGTCCTGTGCGCCCGACGGTCACTTTGCTAGGTCGCCTTTCCTCCCGGGAGCACTTTCCCCTGGGGCCATCTCACCACTCTCGCAGGCACACACGCAGCTCCTGAGCGCCGCGGGCGCGTGCACGCGCGCAGACACACACACACACACACACACATACACATACACGCACGCATACATACACATACATGCACGCACACACATACACACACACACTGCCCTCCTGATACCTCCCCCCGCCCAGGGCGGCCGGCCAGGCGCATAGCTATAAATACTAGTCGCTGAGTTGGGGACACCCGATCCTCAGCGGGTGGGGGTGCCACAGGAGGGACACTGGGCCCTCCGTGGGGGTGGGGAACCCAGCTCCGGCCTGACTTGAGGGCCTGCGAAACCCCCCTTCCTCATTCTGCAGTGGCTACCTGGGGCCCGTCTGGGACTGGGTGTGGCACAGGGCTGGCCAACGCCTGGGGCAGTGCTTGGCGGAGGGTGTGAGCCTGCTTGCTGGGGGCTGACCCTGGTGAGTCTGCCGTGAGGAGGTGGAGGAGGGCCAGGGCTGGAGTGCAGGGGCGGGCCCTGAGGAAGGTGCTCAGATGTGGGGAGGAGGAGGAGTCACCGACTTCTGGCCAGGGTGACTCAGTGGCTGGTGGTGCCACTGAGGAGGCCAGACACCAGCTTTGTCCCCAAGGGCCCAGGGCAAGGCCTCTGCCAGCTGCGACGCTCTCAGCACTCCCATCTGTTCTAATGGACGCAGGACATGGGATGCTCTCTCAGGGGTTTCTATGGGTCCCTGCCCCATGCCCCATGCCCACGCCGTGCTGCCCGTGGACCCAGTGACTGCTCAAGCCACAAAAGGCTCAGCTTTGGGAAGCTGGGGTTGGGCCATGCCTGGGGCTACTGCCAAAACCAGGGACGGCCCCCAAGACAGATCCGTGTCTCCGAGCTGTGGCCTCATTCCTGAGCTCCCAAGGAGAGGGCTAGGGCAGGCAGATCTCCCTCGGAGAAGGGAACCAGCCCTGCGTGTCTGGTTCAAGGCTACAGGCCTCAGCAGACAGACCTCAGTGGCTGTCTGAGCCATTCCTACCCAATTTTGAACGGTGGCTTCCTGGAAAGTTCTTCTTGGGATCCCCCACCCTCTCTCTCTGCTCTAAGCAGCTGACAAGCTCATCCCTCTCCCCAGACACCCCAGGTCACCAAAGCAGCCCTCAGACCCCTGTTCCCTCTATGCTGCCTCTGCCCTGCTGTGTGTGGCAGGCCCTTGTCCCCTCTGCTGCCAGGGGAGGTATGCAGGGGTCCAAATTCCTCCCCTCCAGGATCCCCAGCCCCCACTCAGGTCTGTGGTCCAGTGATGTTCAGGGCTCCTCCCTCAACCTGCCAGCCCGGTCAGAGTCACCTGCTTCTGCAGGACAGGCAGGAATTTGCGATGACTTGATGGTGTTCCCCTCAGTGCTGCCAGGCTCTGCTTCCAGCTGGGAGATGGTTCTGGAACAGGGCCCTCCCAGCTGCCACCGGTCAGCAGGCCAGGCCGGCTCACTCTCAGACTCAGATAGGGCAGCGCAGACAGGCAGCCTGTCACTCGCTCTAGGGCCCACTGGGCACCCACCCCAGTCCCATGGCCCTGCAGGAAGGAACCCCTGACTCTTCAAGTTAGTGGGAATCCAGTCGTGGTCTGAGATGGTGTGTTCTTCCCTCCAGCCTGACAAGCCGGTGAGGCAGGATCGCTCCACAGAACTCTTTCACAGCTGGGGAAACCGAGGCTCAGAGAAGTTGAGGAAGGAGAACAGTGACCACATTTGGAGCCTTGTGGGCACTCGTGCCCCGGATCTCTTCTGTTTGTGTTTTTGTTTTTGAGGCAGGGTCTCACTCTGTGGCCCAGAGTGGATTGCAGTGGCACAGTCACAGCTCATGGCAGCCTCTACCTCCTGGACTCAGGTGGTCCTTTCTCCTCAGCCTCCCTAGTAGCTGAGACTACAGGCACATGCCACCATACCTGGATACTTTTTTTTATTTTTTTCAGAAACAAGGTCTCTATGTCATCCAAGCTGATTCTGAATTCCTGGGCTCAAGTGATCCTCCCTCCTTGGCCTCTCAAAGTGCTGGGATTACAGGCATGAGCCACTGTGCCCAGCCTGACTTGGCTCTCTTGTCCCCACCCACCGGTGAGGGCACTGAGTTGGGCCTTAAGCGGGGCAGCACCTTGGGACCTGACGCAGCCTCTTGAAGGCAAGGACAGGTGCCTCCTCTCTGGGCCCACCCCAGGTCTTTGCAAGTGCCCAGTGACCCCAGGCTTTCGGTGCTGAGCAGCAGGGGGTACCCACCTGCCACCCACCTCACCCTCCTGTTCTTGAGCACCCCACATCTGACCACCCCATGTTGTCAGAGGCTGCAGGGTAAGGGTCCGGCCCGACATCTCTGCGAGGGCTGCTCTTGCTTGGAGTGCCTGTGCACAAAACCTATGAAGGTCCCAGAAACCAGGGACTCCAGGCACACAGAGGCCAGGCCTCACCTGGGCCCCAGGAGCTGGATGGGCGACAGGAAGGAGGGCCTGAGGGACCCAGATAGGAAAAGTGCATGCAGTAGCCAGAGTGAGCTGAGGCCACTGTTCCCGGGTGGGTGGCAGTGACCAGTCACTCTGCTGCCCAGTCTGCTGGTCCTCTTGGCCCCAAAGGGTCACCTAGCCTGTTGCCTGGGCCTAGAGCTGTCCTGATGGTGGCTGCACCCCCACGGCTGGCCTGGTCTCTGGATGTGTCGATTCTGGCTCTGTAGACCCCTTCACCAGCAGGGCCGTTGCCAAGCCCAGCTCCCAAGCTGTCTGTGTCACTCAGCGCAAGCCACTGCCCTGCCCAGAGGTGGTCAGGGCTGCCTACACCCTGCACACCACCCTCGTGCCGTTCCCACCATGGTCACTTGGGGCCTGTGTTCAGAACACACCCCCAGGAGCCCCAAGAGCTTCCTTTCTTTTTTTTTTTTTGAGTTGGAGTCTCACTCTGTCGCCAGACTGGAGTACAGTGGCCGCTCCCGGTCACCGCAGCCTCGGCCTGCTGGGCTCCGGCGATCCTTCCGCCTCAGCCTTCCAAGTAGCTGGAACTACAGGTGTGCACTACCACGCCCGGCTAATTTTTCGATTTATTGTAGAGATGAGGTCTTGCCAAGTTGCCCAGGCAGGTCTTGAACCTGTGGGCTCAGGCAATCCACTCACCTCAGCCTCCCAAAGGTGCGGGATTACAGGCTGAGCCACCAAGCCCACGGTCTCTACCTTGGGCCCTGACAACCATGCTCTGCCTCTGGGACCTGTTTGTTGGTGGCCTCCCTCTTCCTGGTGGAGCCTGTGTCACAAGTCCCTTGCCTCCCACCCACAACCCTGTCCCTTCACTCCTCGAGGTCTTTCCTGTCTCCACCAGGGGGCATCTCAGGGCATGTTGCCAGAGCACTGCCTGCCTTCTTGCCCCCCTCCTCCCCCTGGCACCGGCCCTCCCCCTCCTCCCTCCTGCCCCCGGGGGAAGAGTCTCCTGGAGCCAGACCTACCTTCCTCCACCCCATCGTCTGTCTCTTCACAGCATCCTGTGTCCTTCTTGGGCACAGACATCGCATGCCACTTTTGAGAGTCTAGGTCTCCCACTTGGACCTCCTCACTCATGTCCACAAAGTTCCTGCCCATGAGTGCTTGGGACAGCTGAGGGAGGCTCACCTGTTGGGTGTCACGGTCCCTCTACTGCGTCCTGTTCCCTAGAGGCAGCGTTCAGCTTTCACTCCCAACTCCCTCAGTCCCCAAAGCCACCTTCCTCCAGGTGTTCTTTGCCAGGCCACAAGGTCAGAGCTGACATCCCCTTCCTTCCATGTCGGCCAGGCAGCAGGGCTGGGCTGGATGCGATGTGCTTGGGGCTGGTGCCTTCTACGGGTTTCCACAATGCATTTACTTGCTGCTGCCTGACTGCCTAGGGTGATGTCCAGCCAGTGCCACTCTCCAGGAGGGCCCCTCTGGTAGCAGGAAGCTGTGGCCACGTCTGTGGGGTGTAAGATCACAAGAAACCCCTCGGTGACTCCTGTGGGGAGGGTGGTGCCATGGAGGATGGTGCCCCGTGCATGGAGGCCCCATCCAGAAGCCTGTGGGTGCTTCAGAACCTCTCAGGGGTCATTGGGAAACACCTGCCACGGGCTGGGGTTGCCCAGGGACCCTCTAGGGCATGCTCATGGGAATGCCTGGTGGTGCTTCTGGAAGCCCCCCACCTGCCTCTGCACCCCACCCCGCAACATGAGGTGTGGAGGAAGGCGGGGGAAGAGCAGCTTGGTCCAGGGAAGGGGGTTCCTGCTGTGACACAGCCTGTGGCACTGTCACTGGGCTGACACCCACGCCCCCTCACCCCGGTGCCTCCCCAGGCCGTGTTTGGGTTGAAGGAATGAATGAGTGAGCAGTGAGTGTGCTTGAGAGCTGGGAGGGGGTGGGATGCTGCACTAGTGGGTGGACATCTGGCTGCCCACCCTTATGGGGGCCATCGCAGGTGCCTTCCTGATGGACACCCAGGCCCTTTGCCATATGCTGGACATGGTCCTGGTACAAACCGCCATCAGCGGCCCACCAGAAGGCCCCAGCCTCCCCTGGTACCCATCACTCTGGTCCTCAGCCCAATCGCAGGCCCCTTAGCCAAGGATGGACATAGATAAGGAACTGGTCACTCCCAGTCCAAGAGGGGAGGTGCCTGCAGCTCCCCTCTCCATATTTCACCTCCCTGAGTGGGGGTGGCACTGTCAGAGACATCATCGACTAACATGGGGGAAGGTCCAGGCTCAGGGGCCTAGGAGGGAGCTCGCCTATCCCAGGTGCTGCAGGGGGACAGGTGGCGGGGGCGGCATTGCAGGGAGAAGAGGCTAGTATCTCCCCCAGAGCCCAGGGCTGAGAGTCAGAGGCGGAAGAGGGGGGCCGGGTGCTCACAGCTTCCCTGCCAGCCCCCCTCAGGGAAGCGCGGGCCCATGGGCTGGGGGGATGGAGACCGTGGTGGCTGAGTGGGCTAGGAAGAGAGGGTCCCAGATTCATGTCTGCAGGCTGCAGGACGTGCTCCATCCAGGGAGCACTTGGAGCCCATGGTGTAGGGTGTGGAGGAGGACAAGGAGAGAGCCTGCAGCCAAGACCCTGCAGATGGTGACCAGTCTGGGGAAGCCGGTGGGTGGGGAGTGCCGGGAACCTAGAGGCTCCCCTGCCCCTCACCTACTTCAGGGCACTCGTAGCTCCACCCCCCAGAACCTCTGAGGAGCCCCACATCAGCTCAGCCACCCCCTCTTTCCCAGCACCCTCAAAGGCCTGACGGGGCGAGGCTGGGGCAGAGGAGGGCCTGGATGAACCATGGGTCAAGGCAGGAGGCTACAGCTGCCCGCCCAGGGAAGGCCTAGGAGGAGCCACCCACGCTGGGAGGCCTGAGCAGGAGCCCTGGAGATGTGCTGAAGCTGGTTGGGGCTCTGCACAAGCCTCTTGGAGGGGAGCGATGGGGCCTCGGGGCGAGGTCAGCATGGGGGAGGTGCTGGAGCCTCTTGTGCTGAGGAAGCTGGTGAAAGCCACAGGGGCAGGCAAGCTCTTGGCTACCAGACGGGCGGGGAAGGAGGAAGAAGCTGGTGTCTGCATTAAGGGCCACAGGCCCCTCTCTGGACACTGCCTGCCTGCAGGGCCCCATCCCTGGCCCCAGGAAGGGTAGGCCAGCTGGACCCTGGAGGGGCAAAGCAGGGGTGAGGGGAGCCCGTGTTGGCCGTGGTCCCTGTTCATTTGTCTGGGGTAGAGGGAGCCCTCATTTCTTAAACTCCCTGCCGCCAGGGAGGCAGCTGGCAGGGTGTACTCTGGGGACTTGGAGTGACCAGCCAGGCTGCAGGGAGTGGGAAGGGGACTTTGTTGTCCACCAGGGGTCAGAGCTGTTGCCTGAGCTGAGGCTCTGCCACAGAGAGGAAGACCTTGGGGGGAACTGGAGGCCAGCAGATAGAGCCCCAGGGAGCCTGACGGGATCCTCAGGCACCCCAACTCTGGGCCCCAGCCTGCCTGAGCCTCTCGGGTGCGGGTCACTTGAGGCCAGTGCGCTGTGCTGTCCTTCCTCCTCTCTTCATTCTCACTCGTACTCTGTGTCACTGTGCTGGGAGCAGAGCCTTGCCTTGACCCACAAATGGTGGAAGGGGGCTTGGATGCCCCTGTGCCGCCACAGCTCCAGGGACATCATTTGTGCCATTGCTGTGTGGTGGCACTCCTGGAGTTGTGCAGTGCACAACATGGGTGACCATGCAAGGCACTCCTCTCCCAAGGACAGTGGGCCTGAGGTTTCTGTGAGCCTGTGGGAGAAGTGCTCACAGCTTCCCTGCCAGCCCCCTGAGGGAAACAGAACTCTCTGCAGCCCTCTGGAGGACCCTGACTGGTGGCCAAAGGGTGGATGGGTCCCCGGCCTTCCATGGTGCCTCTGGTGCCTTGGCTCTGCCAGGTCGTTGAGCCTCCTGCTTCCACAGCAGACAGGGCAGGACAGCTAGGCAGGGAGAGGCTTGGCCTGGGAGGGCTGCAAGAGCATGTCTGCTGGGTGGAGCAGGACCACGGGAGGGCAGCAGCCAGGCGGGTGGCCTCGAGTGCCATGCCAAGGTGTCTGGCATCCATCTGGAGCCAGAGGCACCCTGGTACCTGACTCTCCCGGGAGGGTGGGCTGAGTGAGACACCCACAGGGGCCCTGATATTCTGGTCCCTCTTTGGCAGGCGTCTGCCTCAGCAGGGCATTCTCTGGCCTGGAGGGGAGGGCCTTGCCCGTGCCCAGCCCCACCTTTCTCTCCAGCCCATGCCCTGCTGCCTCGGGTGTCCTCTTGGTAGAGGCTCAAGAGGCCTGGCACCCCAAGACCTCACTGTGGTGGGGGAGAACAGACTTGGGACAGTCACCCTGGCCACTGCAGAGCTCCGGGAGCCCCTTCAGCTCAGCAGTCCTCAGGCTCAGTGTCCTGAATGGCTCGTGCCCCTGGGAGTGGTCTGGCACTGGCTCTGGAGTCATCTGATGCCTACGACAGTCGCGCCTGTTTCTAGGAGCCTGTGTTTACCCCCAACAGGGGCGAGGTGTGCCCAGTAGGCATCATCGTGCCAGCTGACGTGGGTCCTGGGCACCCAGACGGGAGGGTGTGGGGAGTCGGCCTCCCTCCTGGTCGTCTGGCCTGTTTGGCCTCTGCCGCGGTGTTTGCCATGGCCATCTGGTCATCCCTGAGGCCGGCCTGCCCCAGGGGAGCCCGTGGACGAGCGAAATCCTCCCAGTCCGAGCTCTGCTGCAAACTCCCTTTCTCTCAGTTTCCCCATCTGTGCATGGGAACCTTCCCCCGCCTGCCCCCAAGGCAGCACATGTGGCTGTGAGCACAAACATGCTTCGTGAAACGAGTGTAAGAGGGATCCCCGCGTCAGCCCATGGGGTCTCCAGGAGGGTGCAGCCACCCCCAAACCCAGGGCCCAGAAAGGCTCTCAGGCCGTCCCTGTCCCAATGAGCCAAACCTACATGCCCAGGCCAGGACTCAGGCTCTGCTGAGCCTCATGGGCTGAGCCCTGCTCCCCTGGGCAGACTGCAGACGCCCCTCAGCTCCTCCTTCTCCCTCAGGAGTGCTCCCCACACGGTGCACACAGCCTCCCCGGCCCTCAGACATCTTCCCGCATGCCTGGTCTCCTTCAGATTCTTCCTGGCACCTCCTTCTCTGTCCCCAGAGCCGTGTGGCCACCCAGTTTACCTCCTGGCACCGGCCCCACCCTGAGTCACCCTTGTGCTGTGCTGTCTGCCTGCCCTTGCTTCAAGGACACGCACTCTCGACCTCCATGGCCCTGCTGCCTCCTTGGCCTCCCTTTCTGCTCCCACTGGCTTCCCCTCTGCCTCCACCCTGTTCTCACAGAGCCTGCATTAGGTCAGACCCCAGCCACCTCAGGATCTCAAGCCTCACTGGCCAGGGCTGCCCAGGGAGGAGGCACCTTGGAGGGCCCCGGCAGCTGTGTGACAGGCACAAAGGACAACAAGGATCACATCTGGACCACAGGTTGGGCCCAGTTGAGGGAAGGCCTCACCACGCTGCCCTGAAACTTCTGCAGTGTCTCATTTCAGAGGCCAAGGGGCACACCTTCCCATATGCCTGTTTAAGACACTTCAGTGTTTGGGGCCTTGAGGAACTGGTTCTAGTGGGACCACGGTGGCAGTCAGAGCCTGAGGGCCAGAGACAGCATGGAAAGATGTGTCAGGGCCCAGTCCACTGCTTAATATACCGACCGTGAAGTTAGGTCCCTGGAGGGAAGGCCCCTCTCTGGGGCCTGGGGTCACCAGCTGCCTGAGTGTTTTGGGGGTAAATCTTGTCCAGACACTAGACTGGGGGAGAGAGGCCGCCTCACCAAGGGTCCTGCCTGGGACGGGCATGGAAGGGCTGTGCAGGACCCCATGCTCTGGGCCTGTCGGGGGAGCCAGTCCCCTCTACAGGGGTGAGAACAGTGGGTGTGGCTGGAAGGAGGTGCCAGGTGGACCCCTGAGGGCTTTTGTGCCAGGAGTAGGGCAGAAGGGCAGGCCGGATCCTGGAGACACAAAGGGCAGGGCTGGGCATCAGTGTGTGACTCTCAGCCCTGCTCACCCTCAATGTGAACTTCGGAAAGGGAGGAGCAGGGAGAGGGTGGGCTACACCATCCAGCAGCCAGGACCTCGGGGGGCTCCCTCTGGGCTCCGCCATACCTGACACACACGCGGGTCCCTTATGGTGGCACTACGACCCTTAGGTGCTCAAGGCCTGCCTGCTGTTGCGGGGCTGGCTTCAGGGGCAGGGGCCATTGCTGTGGGTGAGGTGCCACTGTATTCTAAGCCACAGGGAGTGTGGGCCCTCCTGCCTGCGCGTGGGGAGTCTTGTGGCTATGCCTGGGGCCAGGGTGTCCTGTGTCCCTGTCAGGTCACCAGCCTTACAAGCACAGAGGACACCCCTGGGCCTTGCTGAGCAGACCCAGTGGTGGGTGATGGCCCACCCAAGTGAAAGGCAGAGCTTTGGTAACTGCCGTGCCCCGGGGACCTCAGTTTCTCCCCCAAATTAAGAGGCCCTTGGGACCCTGAGTCTTGGTGGTGGAGCAGTTTGCTTGCGTCATGTGGCTGGCTTGTGGCAGAAGGGGCCTGGAGCCTGAGTCTGGTGCCCAGCCCCACCCTGGGCAGCCCCTTCCCACCGTCGGCCCAAAGAGACGGGAGCCATGTCTGGGGCTCCCAGAATGGGACTGGCTCTGAATTGCTTTTTCATTTCCATCCTTAGACAGGAGGTACCAGCCCAAAGGGAGGGGTCTCTGTTGAGGGGGAGAAGACGGTGGGTCATGAGGGCCCCGGCTTGTGCTTTCCAGAAGGGGCCGGCTCCTCATTCCTGCATCAGAGGCGTGAGCCCCGGTTGGGAGGAGGGAGCTGAATGGAGCCCACAGCCGCAGGGACCTGAGCTGAGCCGCCCCAGGGTGCTCGTGCCAGCTGGGCCAGACCCTCTCCCACCCAGGCCTCTGACCGGGCCCCATTCAAGGGTGAGGACCCTCACCCAGCCCAGCCCCCACAGACACAGCAGAGCCAGCTCAGCCAGACTCTCCATCCCCCAGCGGTGCCCTGCAGAATGGAGGCAGCTCCCCAGTGTCTGTGGGCGGAGCTGGCCCCAGGTTGCGTGGGGTGTCTGGCAGGCCCTTGTGGCCAGTTCACATCCGGGTCCTCAACCCTTGGGGCCCTCAGCTCAACTGGGCTTCTGTTTCCAGGGGGGCAACAACGCAGGTCACACGGTGGTGGTGGACGGGAAGGAGTATGACTTCCACCTGCTGCCCAGCGGCATCATCAACACCAAGGCTGTGTCCTTCATCGGTGAGTGTCAGGGGCCAAGGGGGCGTCACCGGCCCAGAATCCCCACGACAGGCAGGCGGAGGAGGAGGGGGCTCCATGAGGCAGGAGGAGCCTGGGCTGGACCTCAGCCCCCACCTTGTCGGGGGCCCTGGTGGAGTGCCCCGTGCAGCTCGGCCTGGGGCAGGCTGAGGTCGGGCCGGTGTGGGGGTGGGGGCCTGCAGGGGTAGAGGGCAGGGAGGTGCTGAGCACTCTGGTCCCTTGTGCACGCTCGGGACCACGGCCTGTATGTGCGCATGCCCATAAGGAGTGTGCAAGTGCACTCATGTGCTTGTGCGTGCTGCAGGCCTGACTTCCCGCAGGTGGAGCCATGTGGACGAGGTTGAGCTTTCCCTGGCCCTGCCTGGCCTGGGCTTCTGCAGCCGCCTGGCAGGCCTGGTCCCCCCAGCCTCCTCGTCCCCTCCCTCTACACCCCATCCCTCGTGGACCTCACTGCAACCACCAGTGCCACTTCAGTCCCCCAAGAGGCCAGCTGTCTCCAGACCTCCCCTTGCACCATTGGTCAGAAGTCCCTGCTGCGCATCCCAGCCTCAGCTCTTAGCTGAGACCTCTTGCTCAGAGAGGCTTCTCCAAGTGCCTCAGGCCAGGCCCATGCTTGGTCTCTGCCTTCTGACCTGTCCACAACTGCAGCAACCCCCGCTGCCCCTTGTGACTCCTCCGACTCCTCCCAGCCAGTCGGGAAGCTCGAGTGCTTCGGGTGTGCCCAGCGGATGGCATAGGCCCTGCCTGCTGAATATGAGCTGAGAGCGGACGATGCCATGAAGGCAAGACTGCAGGGGCTGCTGGTCGCCAGGGGCTAAATTGAGACTCACCCAAGAGCCTGTCTGTTTGGTGTAGTCCCCACCCCAGTCCCCCCAGGGGGGCAAGGATAGAATGGTGACAATCTCTATTTCACAGTAGGCAGGCCCTAGCCGGTGAGGTGGCCTGCCTGTGTCCCAGAAGCCCCTGGTCCTAGGCAGACTGGGCCACGGCGCTGACCAGCCGCTCCAGGCAGTGCTGAAGACTTGTCCAGCGGCTGCCGGGTTCTGTGGGGTCTGGGCCCCCCTGGCGGGAAATGAGGCCAAGAAGGCACCACTTGGCCTGGAGGATGCTGAGCTTAGTCTACGAGGACAGGTCAGAGCCAGACCAGAACCCGGGCTGGGTAGTCGCCAGGGAACATCCTCTGGGGCTGGCTGGGCAGTCGGCGTGGCAGACGGCGCCCCTGCGAGGGCTCGTGGAGCCAGGGCAGACGTGCCAGGGCTTACACAGACACTTGCAGCTTACAACACTCCCAGGCTTCTGCCATATGGTTATTTCAGGACACGGTGGCATTTAGGTGACCTTTTGTGCTCTCTGTGACTTGCATAGTCTCTGGGTCACTCCCATTTGGACTGAAGTTGTCTTCTGTCAAGTCTGTGCTGTCCCTGACAGAGACCAGAGATGAGGAAGAACAGGTGGCCTAGGAAGAGCCCCTTTTGATCTTAGGTGAACAGTCTTGGGGTTCAGGCTTACTGTGGCCCGGCACCCACACTCATGTGCTGTGTGACCGGGGCAAGTCACCTTTCCCCTCTGGCCTCGGTCTCTGACCACGTGCACAGCTCCCTAGGAGGGACTGCTCAAGGCTGGGGAGTGGCCATGTTAGCATTTCTCCAGGGCTCCTGCTTCACCACTGCAAGCCACGTAAATAAAATATAGTGGCTTCATCGAGGTACATTTTATGCACCAAAAAACCCACCCACTATAAAGGTGCAATGTCCACTATTCAATCATAGGACATCTCGTTGCCCTGAGATGCTTCCTACCCCCCGCAACTGCAGATCTGCTGTCTGTCCTGCAAATATTTCATGCTGGCTTGAGTTTTGCTTTTGCCATTTTATTGTGGTAAAACATACACAACATAAGACTTAGGATTCTAACCATTTTTTAAAAATAGGCTTTATTTCTTAGGGCAGTGATAGGTTCACAGCAAAAGTAAGAGGGCAGTTCAGAAAGTTTCCATATATCCTCACCCCCACCATGTCAACATCCCCTCAGAGTGGTCCATTTGTCACAACCGATGTCACATCATGGTAACCCACGGTCCATGGTTCCATCAGGGGTCACTCTTGTGTTGTGTATTTTGTGGGCTTGGACAAATGTATGACAATGTGTGTCCACCATCATAGCATCCTGCAGAGCAGATGCACTGTGCCTAAAACTCCCCCGTGCTCCCTCTGCTCATCCCTCCCTCCCCAAACCCTGATCTTATACTGTCTCCATAGTTTTGCCTTTTCTAGAACCCGCTAGACCTAGAGTCCTACCGTGTAGCCTTTTCAGATGGGCTCCCTTCACTACTAACATGCATTCCTCCCCGTCTTTCGTGGCTTGGCAGCACCCTTCTTTTTCGTGCTGAGTAATATCCCACTGTCTGGATGTAGCACAGCTGACATCGTATCCGCTCACCTGCTGAAGGACAGCATGGTTGCTTCCAAGTTTTGGCAGTTACGAATAAAGTTGCCATAAGCATCCGTGTGCAAGTTTTTGTGTTTTCAGCTCCTTTAGGTAAACACCCCCATCACCACGCTGCATCCCCAGGACATCTCCATCTTCCCAAGCTGAGCCTCTGAAACCTGAAACAGCGGCTCCCACTCCTCCTCCCGCAGCCCTGGCACCCTCTGTTCTATTCCTGTCTCTGACTCTGACTCCTCCAAGGATGTCGCATGAGTGGAAGCCTCCAATATGTGTCCTTTTGTGACTGGCTCATTTCACTCAGCTTATTGTCCTCAAGGGTCACCCCTGCTGTCGCGTCAGGCGTCCCTCCTTTCTAAGACTGAGTCACATTCCGTCGTGTGGACGGAGCACGCCCTGCTCATCTGTTCGTCGTCCGACAGACACCTCGTGGCTATTCTGACAGTGCTGCTAGGACTGTGGTGTCTTGCTTCATGCTGTTCATAAGCTGCCCGGTGTCTGTGACACGATTCAGTCTCTGGTGTCCATGTGTTGCAGGCAATGGGGTGGTCATCCACCTGCCAGGCCTGTTTGAAGAGGCAGAGAAGAATGAGAAGAAAGGTGGGTCTGGGCCCTGTACCTTTGTCCTGTCCCTGATAGTACTCTGGGCTGTGCGGGCCTAGCTAGGGGCCTCTCCTGCGGGGGGGTGGGGGACTGGCCTGCACGGCCCACCAGCTCTGCCTTGCAGAAAGGAGCGTCCTTGCCCAGGAAGCAGCAAGCTGGGCAGCCCAGAAACTCCAGACTCTGTGGATGTTGCCTCAGCATCCCAGGGCCAGAGAACACATCTAGACTCAGATTAGGAAGGGGCCAGAGACCAGGAATTTCATGAAATGCCCCAGGGAGCCCTAAGGTCCAGCCAGAGTTGGGTACTGCAAGGTCAGCCATGCTTTTTTTTTTTTCTACGTTGGAGTCTTACTTAGTCACCCAAGTTGGAGTGCAGTGGCACACTCACGGCCACCGCAGCCTCGACCTGCTGGGCTCAGGTGATCCCTTTGCCTCAGCCTTCCAAGTAGCTGGAACTACAGGCTCATACCACCACACCCGGCCAATTTTTTTATTTATTGTAGAGACAAGGTCTTGACATGTTGCCCAGGCTGGTCTCAAACCCCTGGGCTCAGGCAATTCTTTTGCCTCGGCCTCCCAAAGTGTTGGGATTACAGGCTTGAGCCACCGCGCCCAGCCAATTTTTAAAAAATACCTTATTTTATTTTAAAGATGAGAGTCAATCCAGCTTTCAGAGAAGGATCCGGTTCCTGTGGACTCAGTGAAGCATTTGGCCAGAATGCAGAGGCAGGCAGGCACTGCCCCTATGGCAGGCCAGGGGTGCAGCAAGTCAGACCTGTAGGGAGCAATCTAAAGCCAGGGTAGCCGGGCTCGGTGGCTCAGCCTGTAATCCCACGCCTTGGGAGGCTGAGGTGAGTGGATTGCCTGAGTCTGCGGGTTCAAGACCCGCCTGGGCAACTTGACGAGACCTCATCTCTACAATAAATCAAAAATTAGCTGGGCGTGGTAGCATGCGCCTGTAATTCCAGCTACTCGGAAGGCTGAGGCGGAAAGATTGCCGGAGCCCAGCAGGTCGAGGCTGCGATGGCCGGGAACGGCCGCTGCACTCCAGCCTGGGTGACAGAGTGAGACTCCAACTCAAAAAAAAAATAAAATAAAATAAAGGCAGGGTGATGCCAGCTGAGAGGTCCTGGTAGGAAATGGAGCTTCAGTCTCGGGTCAGGGACAGGGCAGATGTGGAAAAAACCAGTAGGATCTGGTTCTGGGGACATGGGAGCCAGAAACGAACCAGACTGAGGCCCTGCAGGGGGCAGGTCACCTTCAAAGTGGCTGCAGGTGGGGAGGAAGGCCCCGCATTCACATGAGACCAAGCCTTTGGGCAGGGGAGGGGCGGGTGTCCGGGAACTGGGGGTCCAGGAGCCTCCGTGGGGAGAGAAAAGAGGGAAGGGCCCATTTGCCTGCCACAGAGGTGGCTCTGTGGGCCTCTTTACCGTGTGCCTCACCCTGACGGGAGCTGGTGGCCTGTCTAACCGGTGAGGTGCCACAAGCTGGTGAATGCTGACCCCTGTGTGCCGTGTCGCTGCAGGTCTGAAGGACTGGGAGAAAAGGCTCATCATCTCCGACAGAGCCCACCTTGGTAAGCGCCACATTGTGGGGAGGGTACAGGGCACGGTCCCTCCCACCCCACATAGCCAGCTGGCCACCCCAGCTCAGGAGCTCCCCAAGGCCCTCTCTGCTCCACATGGCTCCTCTGGCTGGCATAAGACTCCTTCCAAAGAGCTTCAAGGCAGGAGCTGGATCAGGCTCTCTAGTCCTTGCAGAGCAGACACCTGGATTCTGGACCCCAGCCTCCACTCCCAGCCAGGACCCTGGTGGTCACACCCAGGCAGTCCCCTTCCAAACCTCCACCACCCCCTTGGGAGCCTCCGGCCTGCAGCAGGTGAGGTCCCAGCATAACCTCTGTCTTCTGCCTATCTTCTGCTCCTTGGCGCTGTTGTCTGGCTCGATAGTGTTTGACTTTCACCAGGCTGTCGACGGGCTTCAGGAAGTGCAACGCCAGGCCCAGGAGGGGAAGAAGTAAGTCCTTCATGATCCCTTGTCTGCTGGTAGTTCTCCAGTCCTGCGAGCTGGTGAGCTGCAGGGCAAGTCTGGTCTTGAGTGTGACATGGAGGGAACACTGACCCATTCAAAGCCCCAGAGAATAGTACTGCTAAAATGCTACAGCACATCCCTGAAGCCCCTCTGGGGTTGCATGCTGTCCTCATTGGCTGCCACAGCCACATAGACCCCAGGAATGTAAGTGTCCTGTCATCATCTGCCATGCTCGCCACATCCACTGGGATCCCAGGCAGCCCTGACTACACACGGGCCCAGGGACAACACAAGCAGCACTGGACAGCGGGGCTGGGAGCAAGCAGGCTCTAGCCCTGCACAGAAGGCTTCCACCAGCCCCCACCCCGTCACCCACCCTGACAGCTGTTTGTATGTCCACTCAGAGGCCTACAAGAACTGTAGGTGTGATGGACACGGGAGTGAGGCAGACATGAGTCCTGCTCAGAGTCAACGGTCTCACACTTACACACACACACACACACACACTGGACACATGCACACGCAAGCACCCATGCTCTCACACATACCACAGGCATACATGCACACACCACACTAGTATACCCATGCATATTCACACTGCTGCACACACACATGTGCACCCATATGTACACATAGCCACACAAGTACACTCACACATGCCACACAAGTGCATGCATACCCCACAAGTACACACACTCACATGTTCACACACGTGCATGCACGCACATGCACTCACATGCACACGAGTGTACACACTCATGCAAGTGCACACACATGCACGTTCACAGCACTCACATAAGCACACACACATTCACACATGCACACCCCACACAGATGCACCCGCGCACATACTCACACCCAGCTCAGCCAGACACTGTGGCAGTGGTGAGCACTGGCTCATGAACCTGTGGGGTCCCATGGCAGACAGTGGGGTCCAGGATGCCTCCACCATTGCTTCCAGTCCAGGGGTAGCAGCAGTCAGTGGGTCCCAAGAGCAGCATCCTCACTGCAGGCCTGGAGGGAAGCTGAGGCAGGGTGCAGACAGGGCTGCTTGAGATGAAGACAGCACTGCTGGGGGACAAGGGCAGGTCTGGGCTGAGGTCAGGGAGGTCTAACAACCTGCCAGTCCTAGCACGCCTGAAAACTGACCATTGGAGGACACCAGGCAGCAGCCAGCCTCCCAGACTCCTGGACACTGCTGTTGGGATAGATGTCAACCCCTGGATTCTTTTTTTTTTTTTTTCCAAGTTTTCAAACAAAGTTTATTAAAGAAAAGAGAGAGAAAAGACAGGGTGGCGTGCCAGAGCTGCCACGGGAAAAGAAACCGCCAACCTCTGGATTCTTGATAGGGCAGGACCTAGGGCCCAAGGGGGGCTGGCCTGGATCCCACAGACTGCTAAGCAATGGTCAGTGGGAACCTGAGGCTCACTAGGCCTCCGGGTCTTCAAGGGTACCCACTCCCCATCTTGCAGCATTGGCACCACCAAGAAAGGGATCGGACCAACCTACTCTTCCAAAGCTGCACGGACGGGCCTCCGCATCTGCGACCTCCTGTCAGATTTTGACGAGTTTTCCAGCAGGTGCCAGAACTGTCTGTAGCCCTAGGGGAGGTGGCTGGGAGGGACAGGCTGGTGAGAGGGCTCTGGGGTCCAGGCAGGGCTGAGGCTGCCATAAAGGGGAGCCTCCTGTAAGACGCACAAGGGGGTCACATGCCTGTCCCTCATGCAGATTCAGGAACCTGGCCCACCAGCACCAGTCAATGTTCCCCACCCTGGAAATAGACATTGAAGGTCAACTCAAAAAGCTCAAGGTAAAGCCAGGGGTGCTGCACGTGGTGGCCAGGAAGTGCAGTGGGCTGGACCCTCCGGGAGGTCTGCCGTCCCACTGATGGTTGCTGCCCACCTTGGGCACACCCATCACGGGCTGTAAGTGAGCCAGCAGCCTTCCTGGGGATCTGGGCCTCGTCTGTGGCAGCCACAGACTCATGCTGCTGCTTGGTCCCCTCAGGGCTTTGCCGAGCGCATCAGGCCCATGGTCCGAGATGGCGTCTATTTCATGTATGAGGCACTCCATGGTCCCCCCAAGAAAATCCTGGTGGAAGGTGCCAACGCAGCCCTCCTGGACATCGACTTTGGTACGTCCCAGAGGGTGCTCAGCCCAGCCAACTTTGTGTCTGCCGGGAAAGGCCAGTAGCTACCAAGAGCTGTGGGAGCTGATGGGGGTGGGCAAAACAGCCTTCCAGGGCCATGAGACCACCTATGCCCATGAAAATAGTGCTCATGTCCCCAGTGTCCCTAACTTCAGCAGGGGAGGGGAGAAGAGAGGGGACTGAGCTAGAGATGGGAGAACAAGGATGAGAAGGCCAGGACGGAGTCTGGGAGCCAGCCCTCCCCACGGTCTGTATGTACCTCCCTGTCCCCAGGGCACACCAGTTTACTGTCATCCCCAAGGTGGCCTGGCCACATCAGTCCACGCTGGGAGCAACCTTTTCCCTCCCCTCACATGTGAGTCACACAGTCCAACACACAGTACCCAGGAAGGGCCTGCCCTGGTGATCCCCATGGAGGGGACACAAAGCGGCTCCAACTGCCCACTGCCCTTTGCCGAGAGGGTCCTAGGGCCAGGGAGACCTGCAGGGGCAGGGGGCAGCCCCCAACTGCTTCTGTTTTTCAGGGACCTACCCCTTTGTGACTTCATCCAATTGCACTGTGGGTGGCGTGTGCACGGGCCTGGGCATACCCCCCCAAAGCATTGGCGATGTGTACGGCGTGGTGAAGGCCTACACCACCCGAGTGGGCGTCGGAGCCTTTCCCACTGAGCAGATGAACGTGAGTCCCCAGCTCCTGGGACCACGTGGGGGACATGGAGCCTGGGTGGGAGTGCCGGGGGTGGGGTGAGTGGTGCCAGAGTGGGGAGAGGAGGGAGGTAGG